ATATATATATATATATATATGTATATACATATATAAACACACATACACAGTATGTCGCTCGCTCGCGCATGCGCACGCGTACATACATATGCCACGGTTGCTTCTTTCTCTTTTTATATATTTCTTCTTTTTCTCTCTTTTTATTTAGCATATTGTTCGAGACAACAATTTAAATTTTGAATTATCTCATGTATTATTCTATCTTTCTCTTCATAAACATTAACGAGGCCTATTTGTTTGCTTTGTTTTTACATTTGTCATGTGTGCGTGTAAGATAAACTATTTTCTCACGCGAGTTTGTCTACATATAAACGCATCTACAAACACGTGCATCATGGAGCACGTTATAACGCGCGGCATGCGTACACTCGATGGCTCATATTTTTTTTTTTTTTTTTTTTTGGCTGATTCGATCGCGTTTAATAATATCATTCTGGCAGATCGTGACGCTGTTACTTTACTGTTCTAACTTGGACTGACATCGCTTTCTCCAAACGATTTCAATAATAATTCTCTAAATCCATAGTATTGATCTATGCAAGCTTCTTTCGTATATCATTTATACATCAGTTTTTAAACGTGTCCGCCCAAAAAAGAACAACGACAAAATATTTTGCAAACATATATGTGCATATAGACACAGTCGCACGTGCGGTAATCGGTATTTGTGATTTCTCACAATAATTACACGTGGTCTCCATGTTACGAATCGATTCAGTGGCTCGTATATATTTTTGCATACGTTCAAAAAATAAATATGTATGTCTCTTTTTCTTTGCTGTTGTTGTGGTTTTTGCTAAATAAAAAAACCGTCGAATATTGCATCACTTCAAAATATCGCTACGAACCACATTTAATCTTATTAAAATATATATGTGTATTCAATACACGCACCTATACGAGCCTTTTAACCCTCTATGGTTTAATTTATGTCGTCAATGTTATTATCTCTCATTTAATCTTTAAAAAAACATCAGATTTGTCAATTAAATCGACTTTCTCTAAGGATCAATTGTTACAATGTTGTTAACGACCGGAAGTGGATCAAAATATTTTATAAGCTTAATTTAAATAAAGGAAGCAGACCATAGAGAGTTAAGAACAAATATTAATAATTATAATGGATACGTCATATAAATCGTTTCACGAATA